CCTACAAGGGAAATTTGTTGACCACACCCAATCTGGGAGCAGCACAACATCGCCAGCAGAGCGGCACCCCATGTTGCAGGGGGGTTAAGTGTCCTGCTCAAGGGCACAACTAGGTATACCTAGTTAGTCATGAGATTTGAACCAATAACCTTCTAGTTGATGGCTCTCCTTGTCTACCAAGCTCAGCAGTAGGCTGAGTAGCTTGGCTGGTTTTGGAAAGGAATTTTATATATATCCTAGAATTATCTCATTGACTTTAACTGTGGCACTGTAAAAGTTGAACACATTTGAACTTTGTATGACCCTGCACGCTTGAGGCAGCTTACTCGGTTTACTGCTGCACCGAACTCAGAAGCGAACCCCTCACTGTGCCATTCATCCTGTTGTGGACAGTTGAATCAATGGTGCATTTAGGAATGCAGTATTTATTCCAGCCAATATCAGCCATTGATTACAATGCAACTGGAAGTCATTTCATGCTACTATTTTTAAAAGGGTTTTAAGAGTTTCATTACGTTTCTATCTTGTTTTTTTTTCATTAAAACTTTGCTAGATGTATTATACAAACATTTTTAATAATTTACACTGTGTTTCCTGTGACATTTATGACATTTATAAATTTAAAAAGGTCCCATATCAAGGAAAACTGAATTTTACTCAGTTTTTTTTTAATGAGTTTGATTTAGTATTTGTAACCATTATTAATGTTTCAAAATGTATTATTGACTTCCAGTCTGTACTGTCCATATATTTAAGCTGCAACCGCAGTTTGATGTCACCCAAACCATAACAACTAACCTGTATCCACCTGATTCAGTCCACAGCAGTTTAGCCCCACCTATATAAAAGTGTTTCAACCCAGACCAGAGAACTTGCAGAGAGGAGAATTACCACTCTGTAATGTCTTCCACGTCTCTCAAACACTAGGGGGCGCTCCTGATATTCTATTATAAATGACTACATTCATTTCCTGAACACAGAACAGCTACAGTTACTCTTGTGAAAATAATACTTAATTTTTTTCAATGTTAAAAATCTTTTTAAATTTCTTTTAAAATGAAGTTTAGAAGATTTAGATTTATCATAAGCTTAATTTTCTAATAAAAATACTTCAAAAAATGCTGTCACTACTGAGTTTTTGTCCATAGACAGAACCTTATTTTAGCCCACCCATGTATTTTGGATCATAATTTCATGGCCACATGGTGAGCAGTTGGATCCCATTGTTTTGAAGTAAATGTGTTCCAAAGTCTGAAAATCAGTGTGGAACATCAAGAATTGTCACTACCAAAACACACATTTTCTGCAATAAAGTACTTTTTTGTGTTTTAATGAAGAATATTATTATTTTCTGCATGTACAACTATTCAAAACTGTGTTTGTTGGCATTTTTGAGTTCTGTTCAAAATTAACTAAAATTGTCACCACCGAAACAGTCACTACTGAAACATTTGGTAAAGTTTAGGTAGTGCTATGATTGTTTCAGTAGTAACAAAATGGAATTTGTAATCATTTATTGAAATAAAATACAATTAAGATATAGGGTCACTCAAAGCAGAACAATTCTGAAGTCTAAAATCTATTCTAGTCTAATTTTAGTCTAAATATAATTGCTTCTTGTTCCCCAAAAACACCAAAATGTTGAATAAAAAAAAAAACTACTTTCCTGCAGTTCAGTCTGCACTCTTTAAGTTACCACTGAATAAAATAAAAGTAGTTATAAATATGACCAGCAATTCTAAACTTTTGAATGTTTTATTTCTTTGGTAACTCTTTATAATAACTGACCTTTAAATAGCAACTTATTATCTAATAGAGTTTGTTAGTGATAGTTAATAATTACACAAGCCTTACTTATGCATTAATAAATGCTACCATTTAAAATATTAACCTTTTTTCTGTAAATGTGTTATATTTAAGTGCAGTAGGTTATACAATACTGCCTCATAAATACTTCTTAATAAATATTTCTTTTATAATACACTTGCAGGAAAAAAGCTACTGAAGTGTCACTGGGGTGGTACCCTCAAGGGTTCGCCTGCAGTACCCTTAGTTATGAAATACAACTCTACCATAATCCATTGAAATTAGATTTTCTAAGTTGTATTGACTCCACACACCCTGTCTCGTCTCCAGGCTTTTTATTTTATTGTTCTGTTATAAAATGTTGCATCATGAAAAGGTACAAATTCATGCTTTTTTCTGGCAAAAACTTATTTAGTTGGGCCTTAAAACCACTGTTGTACCTTTGAGGGAACATTTACATTGTTTGTACCTTGATGAACGAAAAAATGTACCTGCACAGAAACCCCCATTTAGTGATTTTTAATGTTTAAAAAAAGTGCATATTAACCACTTTAAAATGATTAACTAATCATGGAGAAAAGGTTTATGCATGCAAGTAGCAAGATAACTAGCAAGATAATGACTTATTTAAAACGTAGACAATTAAAACATATATATGTTGGCTGGAATAAATACTGCATTCCTAAATGCACCA